ATTCTCTAGGTCTCTGATTCACTCCTTTTAGGTCAATCAAATGTATATCCCTGGCCAGTAGGTCCACACAAATAAATTTCCCCTAGGTCCTGGTATACAAATACTCCATAGGTCTTACCATGTTAATTGTCCATAGGTTCATCCAATGCACCGTCAAAAGCTTTACATGTTTATCTTCCCGCTGGTCGCCTTGATTCACCGTCCATAGGTCTATATATATAAACTGCAGGTAGGTTTTTAGACCTACTATCCTTGGGTCCCTTAGATACGTTATCGCTAGGTCCACCGTACATTAATTGTCTTCAGGTTGGCCACATATATTTCCAATAGGCCTACGCATGTGAACTATCTTCATCTCGGCCACCCCACAAGCTATCAAGAGGTCCGAGCCTATATCCGAGCTACTAGATGTTATGACCATATTACCCAAGCTATATGAGCGGCAACTCACCCGAGCTAATAAAAATCAACTCACCCGAGCTACTTGAAGAACGACTCAACCAAGCTAACTATGGTCGATTCATCGAAGATATTCTATTTAATATATCATCTAGCCCTCCAAATGTCAAACGAGTTATTGCTTTCTGAGCTAAATAGATTTGTTTGATAATAGTAATAACAGAATATCGAAGAGGTCTCACCCAACGTACACTCTTAGAAACAAATCTCATTCATCGCGCTTATCTTTTTACAGATTCATCTGTTAGGCACTTCATATTCCGTACATGCAGCTCTCATCTTAGCTGCTCCTTTCCATCTAATTCGATGGTGTCTATTAGATGACGTAATCTATCAGGCGTTTCTTCTCATTATTCTGGAAACTATTCATTCATTCCCAATGACCTTCTCTTATAACTTCTTCGAACACCCTGCTTCTAGTTACTTTTTCAATGTCCAACGAATGGTTACGTATTTTGACTATTTTCATTTTTCTTCGTTTTTTGTATTGTTCCTCCTTCATCTTTCTTATTTCTTTTTTTTCTTCAACGATAGAAAATCTCATAAATTCAAAAGAGATACAAAGTACATAATACAAGTCGGGGAATGGGAGCACCACTCGGGGTGGGCTAGATAACAACCGCAACAAGCACCAACTCAAGAAAACCTATGAACAAAGTGGTCACACACAACCGAGCCTTTGCCATAACCAAACCAACCAAACTAACCAAGACAAACAAAGACACCAAACTACATTATAATAAAATAACCTACAAGAAACCAATTACTAGAACTAAAACTGAAGCAAAAGAAGAAGACCTAATAAATAGAAAAACTGACAACAACACTTAATAGGAGAGACCAGTCCTGCTTGCCAAAAAGCCTTCCCATTGCTGCATAGCCACTTTGATCACCACAGGGGTTGGTCTTCTAATGCACTCAAACAGCCTTAGGTTACGAGACTTCCAAAGCCACCAAAGGATGTAGGTGGACAGTTGGATACGGGCTTCAGAAGTCTCCCTGTGATCTAGCTGCAAAATCTTCCACCACCATGATTTAAAGGACTCCTTGGGGCCAGGTCCATTCCAACTAACAGGGGAATGCTTCCAGACTTCTTTGGCAAACCTACAATGGAACAGCACATGCTCAATGATTTCAACACTATCTCCACATTGAGGGCAGATCACATTCACTTGCATTACCCTTTGCTGAAGCTGTGTACCCAAACGTAAGGCATCATTGCAACATTTCCATATAAAGTGTTTCGCTCTGCCCATAACTTTGAGTTGCCAACTTCTCCTTCTGCTTCTGAGGTCTAGGGTAATGATTGTGTACCTGTTAGTGTTGTAGGCTGCATCAAATGAAACAACATCTCCGAGCATGAGGTAATTTCTTCTTGAAATTTGGTCTGCCCAAAAGATCCCGGCATAATTTAATCTCTTCATCTACTGCATATTCAAATGCATTGTCCAGGTAAAGTTGAAATTGAGAAGGTAATCAGATTTCAAAATCAATTTCAGTTTTGATTTGGAAAGTTGAAATTGAGAAGATTTTTCGCGATTGTCTGTGTAGATTTTTGCGCGTGTTTTGAATTGTGGGTGATTTGAATTCTGCGTGTTTAATGTATATATATAATGTATGTAATTACGCATGTTTAGTGGATGGTGAATTGTGCGTGTTTAATGGACGGCCCAGATTGGGTCTCACGTCCGCATTATAAGAGTGGGCCTCATTGGATCCACTATATATATATATATATATATATATATATTTTCATTATTATCTTCATCTAGTTAATAAATACACTACATCTTTTCATATTTAAATGCAATAATGCACATTTTTCAATAAATACACATTTTTCAATGTCTTCATTACACATGGTTGTAAACCATGTTGTAATGGATGGTGGCTATGTAGCATCTTTCTTTCTCAGAGGATTTTGCTACGTACTTTGCCACCCTCCATTACAACATGGTTTACAACCATGTGTAATGGAGGTATTAAAAAGTGCAATAATGCACATTTTTCAATGCATCCATTACACATGGTTGTAAACCATGTTCTAATGGAGGGTGACTATGTAGCATCTTTCTTTCTCAAAGGATTTTGCTACTTTGCCACCCTCCATTACAACATGGTTTACAACCATGTGTAATGGAGTCATTAAAAAATACAATAATGCACATTTTTCAATGCTTCCATTTAACATGGTTGTAAACCATGTTGTAATGGAGGGTGGCTATGTATCATCTTTCTTTCTCAAAACATTCATCATCAGCTATCCTCATTAATGACTCATCAATGAGAATTATTATTGACAAAAAACATTCTTAATTAGTGTGCAACTTTTCAAAACGACACTTATTAAAAATATGAGGAAGTTATCTTCATAACTTTTTGTGCAAAATATGCATATTTTTGTGTTCATCGTGTTCTGTCATATGTTTTTCTATATAGTTTTTAGTTGTTTCTCATATCTCTTATTTAATGGTTTATTTTCATAAAAAAGTAGTTGGTCAATATTAATGACATGTTATTCTTAATGTATATTTTATTTAAATCTAAATATTGTACTATATTTTGCTTGGACTCTTACAAAATTTAAATTGTTCTCTGTTCTATTCTATATTAAATTTGATACCCTTTAAATTCTCAAGACTCCACGTTTCACACATATACTCATCATTTCTCTCGTATTGTGAGTTTTGTAAAAATAGAGGGTTATGGTGTTTCTATAATTATTAAATCAAAATCTAAATATATAAAGAAAGAACCTATTTATCAAAAATAGTAACAAAAAAAGTCAATCAACATTTATTTCATTCTATTTTTGGTAGTTTTTTTAATTTTTTATTAAATTATTCTCAAAAATCAATCAGCTATATATGTACCCTAAATTCATGGGTTTTGTGGATTTTAATTTTTGTAAACTTTGACTAATGCATACAATTTTGCAAAAATCAATATTCTTTCTATTTTTTATATATATAAAAAATTGATTACCATAAAATTGTGAATTCCGAATTAAGCAAAATACTATCACATATATCTTTTCCTAATAGCAACAAATCAATTGTTTATAAAAAAAATCAAATATCATAGAAATTGGGATAATTTAGGTAAAATGTGGCACGACAATTTTGTAAAATTCAAAATATTCTTATTTTTTTTATATATATATAAAAAAAACCTTTACCATAAATTCGGGAATTTCAAATTAGACAAAATACTATAACATATATCTTTACCTAATTGCAACATATCATGTTTATTAGAACAAAAAATCGGATTCCATATAAATCAGGCACAATTTCAGATTGAAAATTTAAATTTAAAAATCCCTTATCATTTGGCTACTACTTTCTTTAGTTTGGATTTTTAGTAAACATAAAGCAGAGTCAGATAATATTAATTCGAAATTCAAAATGAAATCGGATTAGAACATCCTAAAAGTTTATGTTTTTGTTTAATCCTCTAGAATACAATTTGAAATGGATTTCATAACTTTACACAATTTTTTCCTCCTTAAAGTAATTTTACAATTTTAAGATAAAACTATAGATTATCAAGAAAGACGTTTTACAATCTCCGTTAAATTTGACTATGCATTCTTCATATAACCATTATAAATCATATTATACATATCCTGCTAAATAATTTAATTGATTTATTTAAGTCTATCTAGAATCCTAATATTATTTGTGGTGATAGACGATGTACCAAAAGACCAAACAAATAATGTTGTGTGCAATGATGTGTTTAATAATATATAAGTTACATTTTGTTTATTTCAATACATGCGTTTTGCGCTATTACAATCATCCAAATTTAAATGTTTACCTTAATAAAACTAGCTCGTGCATTTGAACGGGTACCGCACTAGTCCTCTCGTAAAGAGAGTTTGTACAAATATCATGTTTTTTGTATTCGATTAGTTATTATATTAAAATCAATTTATACAAGAATTTTTAAGTGTGATTACAATTTTGCTATTAAAAAAATACTAAACACAAAAACCTTTTAGTTTGTGCAATTTTTCACAATATCATGCCCCGTTTTATTTTTGATAAAATAAGAAGAGATAACTACGAGAGGTTAAATGCAAACGTTTTGTGGGTAAGAGATAGCTCTTACGTCGTGCTCAAGCCACTGGAAAACACCTGTGGGTGTAGGTGGGGCTAGAAGCCAATAGAAACTTAAAGAAACTGAGTTCGCGTGAGACGCTAAGTAAGATATGAGAAATCTTAACCTGTCAGTTTCGACTGAGAAGCTCTTTTATTCCTATGATCAAACCAGAATGAACTCCTTCTATATTCTCACAATTATTTGGGAAACCCACGACGCTAGAGTTGTCGACTTCACCTCCTACCCGGTGATACCCCAAGCTCCACGCTAAGTTAAGGCCCTGGAATGAACCCCATAACTCTGCTCCAGTCATTGAGCATTCCCCATTGTTCATCATGAAGCTGTTGAGCCATTTGTCATAGCAGTCACGATGCAACCCTCACGAATATAGGTCATACATGAGGATTTATTATGTGCTTCGTCTGAGTTTACCTTTATCCAAGAGCTCGGCGGAGGTTGCCACCGGACAAGGCGTTGTACACGAATGACCCTATACCAATCTTCTTAACCCCTTCGGCGAAATGTAAAACACTGTTGACATAAGCACTGATTTCCTTAACTTTGCCAAATGCATCCATCCCCCAGTCTTGAAAGATAGAGATGTTTCTCCAGTGGCATAATTTCCACAGAGTTAAACCAACATACATTCACAATTTTTGGTATCTACAAGGGTGCTGAGGAGATTGAAGAGGTTGGTTGTAAGCCAAGCCTCCAGATCGAATTGAAAGAACTTTTACTGCGCCGCTACTAGAACTAGCCAGAGCCTAACTTGATTGGCTTCAGGGTAGTCCCTGAGGATATAGCATTTCTCTTTCTATAGAAATGCAAGATTTCTCGAAGTGTTTAATCTTGTGTGTGGATATTTGGTTTTCATAATTTTATTTCATTTTCTGGTGGTTCACAATAGAAAATGAAGATTTAAACTTCTATCTTTGTCGATGCGAACATTTAAAATTACAAAATACTTGACCAACTCAAATTATAAATATATTTTAAAAGTTAATAATATTTAGTAAGTTACCAACTTTCCACATATGATATCTCAAATCAATAATCTTTTCACGAGTTTCTTTGACATTCATAGTTCATAGATGAATAAATAAATAAATATATGTACCTTTATAATAAACGTTAATTATCTTCATTACCTATTGAAAAGTAATATAGTTATTCATCAATTGAATAATTCATCTATTAAGCCCTCTCAGCAATCTAAATTTGAAAATTATATGATATCGGATGTGTAAGTGTTAAATTGAACAACCGTCATTGTAAATATATATAATAATTCATTCTTTAAGAGGTATTTGAAATTTAAATAAAAAAAACTTCACTTTGTTTTCAATTTAAAAATTTATTATTTAAGTAGCACACATGCAATATACAAGTGTTTTACTTAATTAATTTTAGTTTTAAAACATATATTTCTATTGAAAAAAATATAACTGCTTAATCATAAGTCTTCCTGACATTTGAAAATATTCTTGGATATTCAAATGGCCTCAAATGAGGATAGAAAATCATTCAAAGTTCAACCAAACAATTAATATTTGATCCGAGATTGCATATCAAATAGTTGATTTAGAAAACACAACATATGATTTCTTGTAATGGGAAGAGCAGCACAAACAACATAGCACAGACCTTCAAACTCTTACATCAACCAAACAACACACTATAGTACGGTAAAGTACGGATACAACTCAAACAACAACATCCAAAGCAGTCGAGACGCATGCAGATTAACGGTATTGATGTATGGTTAGACGCTGTAAAAGATTAGTAGGCGCCATTTATATAGCTTTACTTTATTTAACCTATCTATAGTTTTTCTTCCAACTTTTGCCCGGCTGCTCTCTCCCATCAGTTACCATCCTCATCACGAGACTGACCATCATGTGCCGCTGGGTTGTTATCCTCTAGTTTAGACACAGCCTCTGGGCCGTACAACCTAACTAGCTCTTCCTGATTCAGTCAAAAAAAAAAAGGTTTCATCAAATCACTTGAATATTGTTGCATAATAAACAGTGGAAAGTACACAAAATATCTCGCAGGTGAGAGAGATGAAGTCAAACAAAAATATAAACAATATATTATTTAAGGAAAAAAGGCAACCTTAATGGTGATATTTTCGGAGGTGAGTTTCTCGCATTCCTCAGAAAGCCTCCGCAGCTCGTCTCGGAGAGTATGATTCTCATTATTCAACACCTCCACCCTGTGCTGTAGCTCTTCACACTCAGCCTGTGCAGAGATTTGGTGAAATTTATTAGACAAATAAAATGAGCAAACAATTTAGCCAATGATTCATGTCAAAGCTTAGTCGACAGCTTTCAAAGAATGAAACTATTAGAGATATTACTAGGGATGGCAGCGGTTCGGTTTCGGTTCGGATATCCGCGGTTTTTGGTTCTGCGGTTTTCGGTTTTGGTTCTCAAATTTCACCCACGGTTTTGCGGTTTCGGGTACCCGAAAGTCTTCGGTTTTGGTGCGGATCCTATATTTCGGCCGTGGTGCTCCGTTGGGTGCCCAAAATAGACGACCCATCAAAAAGCCCACCAAAAACCCTAGCTATATAAGTGGAAATTTCCTCTCCCTCTTATCCTCTCCCCGTCTCCCGTGATGGCTTGACTTAGCTATGTACTCTACTACCTTTATTGCTTGTATTGTACATTGGTACTTGCTAATTTGTGACTGGTTGTCTGGTACTCTCTAAGTTATCATGTTTTATGTTGTTGTCTTTGGTGTTTTATTATAATATTTTTTGGTTTTTTGGATATCCGTTTGGTTTTTGGGTATCCGCGTGTTTTGGTTTTGGTGAAGGATTTTCACCCGAAACAGTTTTGGTTTTGGTTTTGGTTTTTAAGTTTGGGTTTTGGTTTTGGGTGCCCTGAGGTTCCATCCGATCCGAACCCGAACCGCTGCCATCCTTAGATATTACATCAGACTTCATTCAAAACTCGAAATAGAGCCCAATGATCACAAATACACAGCCCAACACATTTTTAACGTAGAAGGGCATAGCTCAAAAAAATAGGTAAATTCAGCTTTATTATGACGATATATGTACCAGATTGAAATTGCAAGGATTAAATGAAAAAAATAAAAAAATAAAAAAAGATAAATACATCAACAGAAATAATGTAAGGCCAAAGAGAATAATGGAGTGCATATAAAGTTCCTATATACTAAAATAAGGTATAGTTTGGTCACGAGCAGTATAATGAGTTGTAACACCCCGCCTAATATTACTATACTAAATCAAAGTAAATTTTTCGCACTTTATCATTGAAAAACACTTATTTAATTTTCGAAAAACTCTTACTTTTAAGTATACAGAACCGCTATCTGGACTCTGATAAACTATAACACCCCACAGATATAGGTCCTAGCAAGCTGCTCCATGGTCGTCCTCACGGGTAAAAAGCGGGCCTACTTCGTCAGTCGGTCCACAACTACCCAAACCGCATCGTGCTGCTCCGACGATTTGAGTAGCCCCGTGACGAAATCCATAGTGATGTGCTCCCACTTGCAAAGCAGGATCTCTAGTGGTTTCACTAATCAGGGTGGACACTTGGCAAACCAAGCACTTGTCCATGAACTCGGCTATATCCTTCTTCATACCTCTCCCACAAAAACGACCTTTTCAAGTCGGGATACATCTTGGTGCTACCAGGATGAGCCAAATATGATGCACTATGCGCCTCAGTCAAGATCTCTTTCTTCAGGCCTCGACGTTCGGCACTACATTCCTCCCCTTATACTCCAAGGCACCATTTGTGCCTCGATAAAAACCCTCTACTCCCTCGGTTCGCTCTCATCGAGCGAGCGAATGAACTGTAAAATCTTGTCTCGAAACATGGTCCACATCCTCATCGCTTGGATACTCCCCACTACCTTCAACTTGGGAAGTGACTCGACCACCTCTATCTGTCACACCATCCACCGTCCACCTACAGGGAGTGTCTCCAAATAGAGGTGGTCGAGTCACTTCCCAAGTTGAAGGTAGTGAGGATTATCCGAGCGATGAGGATGTGCTCCATGCTTTGAGACAGGATTCTAGGGGAGAGGGAGTAGAAGATTTTTATCGAGGCGCAGATGGTGCATTGGAGTACAAGAGGAGGATTGTAGTGTTGAACGTCGAGGCCCTAAAGTCGAGGCCCTAAAGAAAGAGATCTTAACCAAGGCGCATAGTGCACCATATTTGGCTCACCCCGGTTAACACCAAGATGTATCACGACTTGAAAATGTCATTTTTGTGGAGAGGTATGAAGAAGGATGTAGCCGAGTTCGTGGCCAAGTGTTTGGTTTGCCAACAGGTGAAAGCCGACATAAGTGTCTACTCGGATTAGTGCAACCACTAGAGGTCCGCTTTGAAAGTGGGAGCACATCGGATTTCGTCACGGGCCTACCCAAATCGTCGGTGCAGCTTGCTAGGATCTATATCTGTGGGGTGTTACATAAACACACTATTCAATAAAGCAATATGTCAGTATCTAAAGGTTGTCCACATATCTTCAGCGTCAAATGCTGAGAATTCCAATCGTCATTCATAATTTGTTTTGATATTTATCTTTAAGTGAAACAAATTCAATTATAACAAAGGTTATAGTTTTTTAATTGAATATAAATGCAGCAATTTGTATAGAAAAGAACCAACAAGTATATATGCTCTCTCGCCATCCAAGACGACATTGCAATCACGAGTCGTGAATAAGAGAGTACAGCAGAATTTCAAAAGCAAGAGAACATGCTAGCAATATATCAATACTTTTCCATCAGAGAAAGGAAAAAAAAAAAAAAAAAAAATCTTCCCATCAACGAGAAAAGACATGCCTGATCACCATCAAATTCCAGAAACCATGTCCCCATCATTACGGGTGAGCAACAATCAGGTAAAACCGAATTAACTTAACGAACCGAACCAAAGAGTATCATTCGGTTGGGTTTTTTATGTTACACGGCTCGGTTTGGTTCGGTTTAGATTCTATAAATAATCGGTTTATTCAGTTGAGTTCGGTTCCGTAAACTAAATTCGGATTAACCAAACCAAAATTATTTAAATAATTAATATTAAAAACAAGGAATAAGTGACTTGCTGAACAAGCCCAATACGCAATAAGTTTACAATCTTAAAGAAACAAGTTTACAAACTTACACAGTTGGTTTTAAATTATATAAATAATTGCTATTGAATTTAAAGTTAAAAACTGATGGTTTTTATTACAATTTTTACTAAGCCTCTATTGAGTCATATTAGATTTTCACGTCTCAGCTATCCCAAGTCAAAACCTAATTACACACTCTCTTTGAGTCCCATTTTTTTCCAAATTCACACTCCGAATCCCAGCCCCAAAAATTTGAGATTTTAATTTTCCATTTTCAGATTCCAAATTGAGATTAGCTTTCTAATTTCAAATTCCATTTTCAACTCTCAAGTCTCAAGATCATCTCAAGATCAGAGTTCTAATTTTTTTCTTTCTTTAATCTCTTGCCCTCTTTGCGGCCTCCCTTAGATTTAAACCTAAATCGATTAACTTTTTTTTTTTTTGTGAAAAGGTTTGAGTTATTATATTTAGTCTATTTTGTTTATTTTTATTTTCTGCTTTTATGTCGTTCATAAGGTTTGTTTTTCCTATTTGCCAGACGCATGGAACCATAACCATCAGGTGAGTTAATATGGCAAGCAACTGTGAAGCCTCAAATGCCAATATCTAACCTGAGGTTGCTGATGGACCTTCAAACGAACGTGATCCTTAAAAAGGAACAAAAAGGAAGCACATGAAACCACAATAGTTTGGTCATACTTTACACAGAATGAGGATGAGAACGGTAATTTAATTTCAGCGAAGTGTGTGAAAAGATTTATTCTCGTCATTCCAAAAGAAGCGGGACTTCATCACTAAAACAACACATGGATGCATGTAAAGGGAACTCAGAACATGGACAAACCATGTTACATTTGCAAACACGTAATCAAGATGCTAATGGTCGATTAAGTACACTTCAACAACAATAACAACATAGCCTTTTAGTCCCAAGCAAGTTGGGGTAAGCGATTGAGTACACTTGCTACTTAGAAATTTGATCAACATGAAACTCAGAAAAGCTATTGCATACGTGGTCATTGTTGATGAATTACCAAGCGAGTTTGTAAAAGGGGATGGATTCCGCCTAGTCATGTCTAAAGCTTGTCCTAGGTTTAAAACTTCATCAAGCACTATGTCGAAGGATTGTTTTTTATTATATGCTGATGAGAGGATGAAGTTGAAGTCTTTTATGAAAAATAATTGCCACAGAGTCAATAGTCCTACATCACTTCAGTTAGAAAAGTAACTACATGTGCATCACAACTCACATCATCGATCTATTACATATAAAAAAAAAAAAAAAAAAAAAAAAAAAAAAAAAAAAAAATGTGTCTGGTACTAGCCACAGAGGTGAATACATTGGGAAGGTGATAAAACTTGTGTTCTTGAGTTGGGATTAAAGAATATTTTTACGATCACCGTAGATAATGCAAGTTAAAACGATGTAGCTATTGCCTTCTTAGAAAAGAGAATAAAAGAGAATGTTGAACTGGGGGTGGTAGTGAGGCAAATTGTAAATTTCTTTATATAGGTGTATTGCACATATAATTAATTTGGTTATTACCGAAGGCCTAAAAGATATCAAACCTTCAGTGGAGCGAGAGACGAGCAGTAAGATGTATTACAAATTGTCAAATTCACCCGCTAGACTTAAGAAGTTCAAAGATTGTGTTGATTGGGAAGGTATCGAGAGAAAAATCTTTTTATGTGTAGATGTAGCTACAAGGTGGAATTTTACATATTCGATGTTAAAAACAATTGCGCAGTTTGAAAAGGCATTTGAAAGATTTGAAGAGAAAGAATCATATTTTGCAATTGATTTAGCTAAGCACGGGGTTTCAACGTCTTTTGATTGGTCATGTGAACAAAAGTTCATATTTATTGAAGCATTTTCATGAGATGGCGTTTTCATTATATGTTATAAGATCACCCTTTTTTTTTTGGTTGCATTTTGAATCAATGGAAAGGGAGTGGTGAGTATGACATCAAAGACTTTGGACACATCAATTAAATCAAAATTTGATAAATATAGGGGGGTATCATATAGCATGGATTAATAATCTTTTGGGCCACTGGATTTGATCATCGTGATAAACTTGAATAGATGGAGTACTCTCTTAGCAAGATGTACGGGGTCGAACAAGGCGTTGCATTGTTTAAAAGAGTTAAAAGTGGACTGTTTGAGTTGTTTAGAGAATATGAAATAAATATCATCCAAATGTTGAAAATGATAATGAAGTGAGCTCTAGTTCTATTTCTTCTAGAAGATTGATGATTCTAATACTGAAAAAAGAAGCCAATGCATGTCTTGGAAGCTAGATTAAAAAGCAGAAATTGAAGACAGGAAGTGGCAGAACTAAAAAAAAATGAACTACAAGTTTACTTGGATGAGGAGGCCTTAGAGGATTCCGAGGTTCTTGATGTGTTGAAGTGGTGGAAAACTAATTTAGGAAAGAAGATTTCCCTAGCGATTGGCACGTGATATTTAGGAGTCCCAATCTCAACAGCGGCTTCAGAATAAGCATCTAGTACCAGTGGAAGGGTTCTAAGGAGTTCACTGACTCCAAATATTGTTGAAGCGTTGATATGTTGGCTCCGGGGATCAAATGAGCCTTAAGGTTGAAAAGTTTGAAAAATGTAATTTAATTCAATTTATTTATTTATTTTGAATTCTGACTTTCAATATCGTAATAAACTTCTTGCATTTTATTTTATTTTATAGAGTTACCAAATGCGGGTATCGGGCTAGCATTATGAAACACAAGCGACTAAGTTTGATGTTATGTTGTTGCTACTATGCCATGGCTTATCTGCTACTGCTTTGCTGTTTGGATGTTGATGGATCCTGCTATAATTTTTTATTTTTTTGAGTGGATGAACAGTGATTAGGGAATTAAAATTAATGTGGTGTGTGAGGATGATTGATTGTTATTATTTAATTATATTGATAAATATTGAGGAGGCTTGGTTGAGTTAGATTTGGATTTAAATATATATTCTCCCCAGACAATTTATAAACAATCAAGGGCCTAAGCTACTTAATGCTTGTGTCATTCTATGGACCTATGGGTTGTGCCTGTGATGATGATTGATGAATGATGTTTGGGAATGTATGGGTACTACTTTGGTGGCTAGTGTTATTTGTTTTGCACGTTAATTAAATTTTGTATTAATTTTGTTACTTGTTAACATTTATAGAATTAGATTGGCTTAATACAATGATCCAACTGATTTGCAAAACCGAACCGAACCGATAATTTTGGTTCGGTTGTAGTTCGATTTTAAATGCTTATTCAGTTCAGTTCGGTTTGCTATGTTATTACAATTTCGGTATTTGGTATTTGGTTTTTCGATTCGGTTTTTAGGCCGAACCGACCGATGCTTACCCCTAGCCATTGTGAAACATCTCAAACAACAAAATTCCGATCACCAAGCAAAAGACTCTTAAACCTAAATCAGTTTACAGAAGCATTAACATAACCACACATTTGTTCTGCTTACACTCAAACAGATATTCCCACAACGCAGCAACTAAGATGAGACTTTATAAGAGAAATAGCACAAGGAACAAGTAACACGTGACACAAAAATCATTTGTTTGAAGTTGAAAGTAAAACAATCTTACCCACATTATTTTATTGATGTCACATTGAACCTTTATCATAGTTACTAATATTATGGAACACACTCAACTAAAAAAGTATCAAGAGAACCTAAAGCAAGTAAATAACAGTATACCTGCTTGCGTAATCTTGACCTTCGAGCAGACTCCCGATTGGACTGCTTTCGCTTCTGCCTTTTTAATTCACGTTCATCCTGCAAATCCAAAGTCCAATTAGTTCCAACTTGAGCGCCAAATAATTGATCATTCATCTATTTTTCCATTACTTCTAAGAAAATTTATTTGTTAAAAGAAGTGATCACTAGTTTGACAGCCATTTAAATTACCACTTCAAAGGTCTTATTGAGAGATAAACAGCTTCCTAAAAATTGTATTACATCACATTTAGTCTAACAAACGTAATAGAAAGAATATCTACAAGGCAAAGTAGGCAAACATTAAAGATCGTGAAGCGACCATATTCAATGCATTTATATGGATAAGATATTAAGAAGATCCACCTCAATGACACCAAAAAATCTGTTTAATGAAACAAAATCTTTTTCATAATCATGCCTTCAGCTTTTCTATCTAGATCAAGTACAAGTCAGAGCTAAACCATATGTAGCCGTATTACCATAAAACTATCAGTGAAAATCTTTTGAAACTTTCAAGAAACGGAAGAAATGTTTCTTTAATATGATCAAGAAATTGTTTACACCACTTGGGCAACACACATAGGCAGTTCCTAGTGCCTAGTACCTGGCCGACTTCCATAAGGAGCCACTTTTTATCATTTTTAATTCTTAAAATAGAAAATTGGTCATTTCATCATAAGAAAAGACAGTGGAATTTCATCATCCACCAATATACCCCAAAAGCAACAAAACCGTCGAAAAATTAATGATAACATCCAATCAAGTACGATCATCATAGAAAATTACGAGCAGGTAAATAAACTGAAATAAACGATGACCACAACAAACAAGTCAACCAAAAAAATGGTACTTATCCACTGATTATTCACCATGCCAGATGGAGCCACATGTGGAGGCACATTTTGATTTGGGCGCATTGGCATAGAACCAGAACCAGCAGGAGACGCATTCCACAAATCCATTCCTATATTCAGATTGGTTGCCGGCACAGATGCTACAAGATTTCCGGCTGCCGATGGCTGCAAATTAGATTGGACAGAATTGTTCTGCGCGTTTGCCCCTGATATTTCAATAGCCAAATCTCGTCACTTGGGCCAAAATGAGGAACGTAAATGGCCTTTAATAATATTTACCGTCCACAAGCATCTGGTCAAAGCTTCCCTTTTTGGTCTTTGAGAAATCCTGGAAACACGAAATAAGATTTTCTTTCAGTAAATAAAATTTCATTTTAAAAAATCTCCGCAAAGCGTCAAAAAGGAGCTTGAGTAATTTTATAGCAATCTTGACACGGGAATAGGACATAATATACTAGTAATCGAAGTGTATTAAGAAATTAATAAAAAGGTAAAAAAATAATAATAATAATAATAATAATAATAATAATAATAATAATAATAATAATAATAATAAGAAAAAAAAAAGATTAAAGACCTGATTATTATCATCACTTGCGTCTGATGAACCTTCGCTCCCACTTTCACCACTGCTCATGACCATAATTTGCAATTCAACATGAAAAATTAATAAGCAGGTAATGAGATTCAACATAAAAAAAGCACCAATGGTTATAATAGTTCAAAGACAAATTATATAAGCAAATGGAATTAAATAAGTCTCAAACCACCTTTGAGTGCCAACATCATTTCCAGAGCCAGAAGTTGCTTTTCCACCATCCGCGGTTTTTACACCAATTGAACCATTATTCCCAGAAGCCCCTCTGGTTTTTTTGCTTGAAGGACGGTCCTTCCCCTCGTTGGCTTTTCCATCCAATTCTGCAGTTCCATGTACGTTACCTGGATTCTGCAAAAGAGAACCAAAGAACAATGATGTAGACAGATTCTTTTCATTCTAGCACTAAACAATTACCCAAAAAAAAAAAAAAAAAAA